CATTTACAAAAATAAGAAATGCCCAAATTAAAAGAAGTAGAGAATTTAAATAACACAATCTTAAGACAGAAATTAAATAAGCCATAAATGAACTCCCAAGGGAAAGAAAACCCTCTGAACCCAAATGGTCACAAGTAAATTCTATCAAATATTTAAAGAACAATTAATTCTAATATTACTTAAACTGCTTACAAAATTAGGAAATGAAGGGTTCCTACCAAATTCCTTTTATGACACAGATGTGTTTTTGATACATAAACTCAAAACAGAAAAAGAAAACTATAGACCAATATCCGTAATGAATAGATTCAAAAATTTTAATTAAAATACTAGCAAATGGGGCAAGTAGGTGGCACAGTGGATAGAACACTGGCCCTGGAGTTCAGGAGGACCTAAGTGCAAATCTGGCCTCAGACATGTAACACTCATTAGCTGTGTGACTCTGGGCAAATCACTCAACCCCAATTGCCTCACCAAATTTTCTCTCCATATCATCCCTCCTGCTATCCCAAGATAGTTTGCGTTCTGAATACCCCTTCCCCCAATCTGCCCTTCCTTCTATCTCCCCACCCCCCCTTCTCTTATCCCCTTCTCCTTCTATTTTCCTATAGGGCAGGATAGATTTCTATACCCCATTTCCTGTATATCTTATTTCCCAGTTGCATGTGAAAACAATTTTTAACATCTGTTTTTAAAACTTTGGGTTCCAAATTTTATCCCTTTCTCCCTTCCCACCCACCCTCATTGAGAAGGTAAGCAACTTGATACAGGTTATACATGTGTAGTCATGCAAAACGCTTCCATAGTAATCATATTGTGAAAAACTAAGTATATTTCCCTTCATCTTACCCTGCCCCTTGTTTATTCTATTCTCTCTTTTGACCCTGTCCTTCCTCAGAAGTGTTTCCTTCTGACTACCCCCTCCCCCAATGTGCCCTCCCCTCTATTATCCTCTCACTCTTATTCCCTTCCCCCCCATTTTCCTGCAGGGTAAGATAGGTTTCCATACCCAATTGAGTGTGTATGTTGTTCTTTCCTTAAACTAAATCCAATGAGAATAAAATTCACTCACTCTCTCTCACTTTCCCCCAGTTCCCCTTCACTGTAAAAGCCTTTTCTTGTCTGTTTCATGTAAGATGATTTACCCCATTCTACCTCTCCCTTTCTCCTTCTCCCAGTATAATCCTCTTTCATCTCTTAATTTTATTATCCAGATATCACCCATTCATCTTCAATTCACCCTGCGCCATCTCTCTCTCTCTCTCTCTCTGTATATACACATATATATATATATGTGTATATATATATATATATATATATACACACACACACACACACACACACACACACACACACACACATGCACAAAATTTTATTCCTCCAACCACCCTAATACTGACAAAGGTCTCATGAGTTACAAATATTATCTTTCCATGTAGGAATGTAAACAGTTCAACCTTAATAAGTCCCTTATGATTTCTCTTTCCTGTTTACCTCTTCATGCTTCTCTTGAGTCTTGTATTTGAAAATCAAATTTTCTATTCTGCTCTGGTCTTTTCATCAAGAATGCTTGAAAGTCCTCTATTTCACTGAATACCCACCTTTTTCCGCTGAAGGATTACACTCTGCTTTGCTGGATAGGTGATTCTTGGCTGTAATCCTAACTCCTTTGCCCTCCAGAATATCATATTCTAAGCCCTTAATGTAGAAGCTGCTAAATCCTGTGTCATTCTGATTGTGTTTCCACAATACTAGAATTGTTTCTTTCTGGCTGCTTGCAGTATTTTCTCCTTGACCTGGGAACTCTGGAATTTGGCTACAATATTTCTAGGAATTTTCCTTTGGAGAGCTCTTTCAGGAGGTCATCAGTGGATTCTTTCCACTTCTATTTTATCCTCTGATTCTAGAATATCAGGGCAGTTTTCCTTGATAATTTCTTGAAAAAATGATGTCTAGGCTCTTTTTTTGATCATGGTTTTCAGATAGTCCAACAATTTCTAAATTATCTTTCCTGGATCTACTTTCCAGGTCAGTTGTTTTTCCAATGAGATATTTCACATTGTCTTATATTTTTTCATTCTTTTGGTTTTGTTTTACAATGTCTTGATTTCTCATAAAGTCACTAGCTTCCATTTTCTCCATTCCAATTTTTAAGGAAGTATTTTCTTCAGTGAGCTTTTGGACTTTCTTTTCCATCTGGCCAATTCTGCTTTTTAAGGCCTTCTTCTCCTTATTGGCTTTTTGGACCTCTTTTGCCATTTGGGTTAGGCTGTTTTTTAAGGTGTTAAAATTTTCTTCAGTATTTTTTGGGGTCTCCTTTAGTAACTTGTTAACTAATTTTTCATGATTTTCTTCCATCACTCTCATTTCCCTTCCCAGTTTTTCCTCTACTTCTCTTACTTACTTCTCAAAATCCTTTTTGAGCTCTTCCATGGCCTGGGACTAATTCATATTTTTCTTGGAGGCTTTGGATGTAGGAGTTTTGACTTTATTGTCTTCTTCTGGTTGTATGTTTTGATCTTCTATGTCACTAAAGAAAGATTGTATCATCTGACTTTTTCTGTGTAGTTTGCTCATGTTCCCAGCCAATTACTTGAGTTTTAAACTCTTTGTTAAGATAGGGAGTCTGTTTCCAGTGTGGAGAATGTACTGTCCCAAGCTTTGGGGCTTTTATGCAGCTGTTTTCAGAGATACTTCTAAGGACCTATAAATTTTCAGTTCTTCCAAAGTGGTATAATCAAAGGCGAGATGTTTACTCCTTTTCTGGCCTGTGTCCTGGTCTATAAGTGACCAGTAGCACTCTTTTCTGCCTTGGAACTGAGAGGAGGATTCCCTCTTCACCACCACCACTACAACTTGTACCACACCAGGGCTCCTCCCTGCCCCAGGATCGCCACTCAGAACTGTGACCCAGATCCAAGCAAGGGCAAAGCAAGAGAATCCTGCCTCAGCACCAACAAAGAGATCCCTTCAATTCCCCTCTGATTAACCACTTGATTCCCTCTCTCTGTCTGTGGGCTGAGAGCTCTGGAAGTAGCCACTGCCCAGGGGTCACATTGCAACTGGGGCTGGGATCAAGCTTCTCTCTCACCATGGTCACAGACCTTTCCTACTGACCTTCTAAGTTGCCTTTGTTGTTTGTGGGTTGAGAAGTCTGGTAACTGCCCCAGGTGCCCATGACTCAGACCCCTGAGGCCTGCTCCAGGTTCACTGAAGACTGGTCTTTGCCTATGTGCCCATGCTGAACTGCATTCCTCTCCCAGCCTGGCATGATAGACCTTTCCAATCAACCATCCAACTTTGTCTTAGGCTGGAAATTTGTTTCATTCTGTCTTTTTATGGGTTCTGCTGCTCTAGAATTTGTTTAGAGCCATTTTTTTTAAACAGGCATTTGGAGTGCTATGGGGGAGAGCTCAAGTAAGTCACTGCTTTTACTCCACTATCTTGACTCCATCTCTTCCTGAAATTTTTAGTAGTAAAATCATTTTTCCAATTCCCAAATAGGGAAATTCTAAAATTTAGGCAGTGGTTTGGTTATCTGACTTAATTTACATTTACATCTGTCTCTAGTGAACCTATGCCCTCTTCATAGTTTAGGCAAAAATCAGGTAGCCAAAAACATTTAGGTAATGTAGCAGCTGATAATACTATGGTGTTTATGGATAGATAAGCATTGAAAAGAGAAGCTGGAGAAAGAGCGGATCTTTTCTTGTAATCTCTCTCAGTTTTTGAGTAGGTCAGTATAACTGGTGGCATCAGTTCAAGTATTCTATTCCAAAATGTCTACTGGCTTAATAACTCTCTTTAGTATCTCCCTTCTCTGCCACAGTTCAATTGCCAAGAGCTTAAATTCTCTTTCTTCTTTTGCTGATGTCCTTGGACTGCAGACCCGCTCCTTCCTCTTTTTCTCCAGACCCTTAGAAACTCTAGCTGGTTCTTAAAGAACTCCCCTTTTTGTACAACTCTCTCAGCAATTGCTTTGATTGTTTCAAGAAGGTATATAGGCTCAATTAACATTCAGTTTTGATTGATTGAGTTTCACCTTATGGTTGAGTAACATGTGCAGAGACAGATATAGATAGGCTCTGTGGATACTGAAGATGCAGGAAAAATTATATAATAGGGATCATTCAAGGGTTAGGCACATGACCCTCACGCAGCTGATGTCATCAGATCTGTGCAGATAAAGAAACCACTGCCAGCAATGGCCAATGTGAAGCCAGTACTGCTGAGCTTCAAGGGTCAATATAATTTACAGGGCTCACCTTCAGCAGGGTCCAGGCTTCTCCAGTGTGGGCTATAGAAACAAAGCAGGACAATAGCACCACCAGTGCTGAGCTGCAGGCACAGGACCAGCGATAATCAGGTGAGAAATGGAATAGTTCATAATCTTTTTTTCCTTTTCCCTTGGTAGAGGACCAAGGGAATGAAAGGCATGAACACCCACCATAACAACGTGTCCTTCAAGTGGTCACCAGAGTAACAGATCCACTTTTTGTTATAATTGTGGATTGTATTTAGGTTGGATGTGCTACCAAAGAGAATGTAGCATTTGTCATGAAGAACCTAAAATCTTCTGATCCAGCTTGGGAAACTAGAGCAGGGTCAGGGCAGGAGGTCATCTTGCACCTTTCATAGACAGTCATGCTGATCATCGATTCCTTATAGAGCTATTTCATCTGGACTTACATAACTTTATGCAGAGATGATAAGGGAAAAACTGAGAATGCAGACTGCAGTGCTGCCTTGGACAGTGGATCTCAGATTACCATTATTTTCCAATCTTTTTATGACAGATATTTGAGTAGAATACCTTTAAGCCAAAAAACAGGGCTTAGACTTGGTGATTGGAAAATAAAGACTAAGATACAGCAAGGTGAGCTTAAGGCCTGTGCAGGTCCTTCAGCACTCGCTGAAATGTCAGCACTGCTTGGAGATAATTCAAATGTTTTCAAAATTCTAACAGGATGCTGTAAAGTTGGGACCCAATACCTACTCACTTTGACCATCTGTGCAGATTGTGGAGGTAAATAAGAGGATAGAGATAAGAGGTTCCAGGGACATCACAAGAGTCCAGACTGTTCAACTACTTAGCAGGAACCTTCCTTCCATGGGCACCACTGCTCCACCACCTACAAGTAGAACTGAAAAAGACAAACAAAACAGATGAAAGCCCCAAGACCTAAAGAATGAAAAATCATTTAAATAGTGTTTACTCTTTGCCAAGCAATGTGCTCAATGTGTATTTATTTTTTACAAATATTATCTCATTTGATCCTCATAATAACCTTCAAAGTAAGTGCTGTTATTATCCCCCATTTTACAGTTGAGAAAATGGAGGCAAACAGTAGTTAAATGACTTGCCTGGGGTCACCCAGCTATTAAGTGTCTGAAGCTGCATTTGAACTCAGGTCTTCCTGAGTGTAGCCCAATGTTTCATCCACTACACCACCAGCTACTTAGCTGCTTCTCCTTATTCCCAGCTCAGTGCATGGTACCTAAGTTTCACAAGACCTTTGCCCCTACTGGACACTGAGAGAGACAGAAAGAGAGAGAAAGAGAGAGACAGAGACAGAGACAGAGAGACAGAGACAGAAAGAAAGAGAGAGACACAGAGAGAGAGCTGCTCCCACTAATGAGGTGAAATATGTTCTCTCAGGAATAGATCTCTGGCATTTCGCACATGAGTTCCTCCAACTTTAGTCATTGGGCATGCACAGAAAAGCCCTGTTATACTTTTAAATGAGGTAGAATAATCATTGGAGCCTCATCTTTATATCTATACTGCTTAGTCATCCTCATCTTTGTATCACATGATCTAAAAGTTGATTATTTGCTCTCTTATTTAATTCTCTAATGAACTTTCCTCATCCCTTGTTTCTTGCCTTCCCACTTAGATTACAAGTTTCTCAAAAGTAGGAGTAACATCTTCTACCTCTTGTGAATCATCAATAACACCCAGCACAATGCCCGGCACATGGCAAGCACTCAAAAATGTGGTCAATAAAACCAAAAATTATCACTTATGATTTCTGAGTTTCTAAGTCTATTGTTTAGATTTCTAAGTAACTCTCCCTCTCGAAATTTAAATGTTTAAAAATAACTACTGCCTTGCTTCTCTTCTTTGTTTTTTCCTTTAATGTATTGAAGTGTCATGGGATTAAGTCCATAACTGTCATTTCATGCAACCTGTATCAGGAAGCTCATTTGTCCACTTTGAAGCTTTGTCTACTATAAGTTCAAATAGACATCTTGTCAATAAATCACCACATAAGTAGTAAGGTCACTGTGGTTTTGGAAAGGCTCACTGTTATTATTATACTACCAAGAAAGAGATTGCAGTGAGGACTAGACTGGTACTAAGTTGCTAACAAGCATATCATCACTCTGTGGGAACTCAATACAGTGACTCAAGAGTGAAAATGAGATTTCCTTATATCAGTATCTTCCTTTCTTGTCGGGACCCTTCTTCCTAGTTCAATTATAGCTGTCCAAATACTGTTGCTAAAGTCAGTCCTCAAACCAGCTTTGTGAACTTTAATAGGGCCAACCTCTGTGCCTCACTTAACTGATTTGTAAAATAAGGGGGTTAGACTAGAGGAACTCTAAGTTGTTTCCTGACTCTATGATACTAGGATTCCCATGAGAGTCGGCAGCAATATCAGACACCTGGGAAATCAGGTTCTGAGTTTCTGAGAAACAGAGGGAATTAGAAAGTTAAAACAATTTCGTTCATAAATGTTTCAAATTTGCCAATTCCAAACAGATGGTTTTGTTTTTTAATACCAGAAGCAGGGTTGGGAGCACTTGACAGAATAAGTCAAACAAATGCTCATCTGTCTAGGCCATTAGGCAGAGTTTCTAAGGGCAGCAGATTATTGCAGTTTCCTTCCCACATTGACCCCGGGAAAACATAAAAGATGCAGCTGATGCCAAAGACCATTAAGCAGAGGCCCAGCTGGCCCCAGAAGTCATTCAGCCCTGACTCTTAGGTAATGCAGTAGTGGTGCAGTGGGAAGTATGAGGGATCTGGAGACAGAAGATTTGAATCTACTGCCACCCCTCTAGTATAGCCCTTCATCACTGCATGCCTGGGTTATTATAATAGCCTGCTGGTGCATCTGCCTGCCTCAAGTCTCTCTCTCCCTGCTCCAATCCATCTTCTGTTCAGCCACTAAAGTGATTTTCCCAAAACAGAAGTTTGAACATGTCACTGGCCCACTCAGTAAACTCCAGTGGCTTCCTATTGCCTCCACGATCAAATACAAAATGCTCTGTTTGGAATTGAAAGCCCTTCATAATCTCCTCTTGTCTTTCCAATCTTCATCTCATCTTATACCCCACAAAGTACTCTTACCAAGCATTCAGTTACACTGGTTTCTTTGTTGTTGTTCAGTCATATGCAACTCTTTGAGACCTTATTTGGAGTTTTCTTGGCAAAGATACTAGACTAGTTTGCCATTTCCTTCTCCAGCTCATTTTATAGATGAGGAGACTGAGGCAAACAGGATTAAGTGACTTGTTTAGGGTCACACAGCTAGTAATTGTCTGTGGCTGTATTTGAATTCAGATCTTCCTGGCTCCAGGCCCAGTGCTCTATCCATGATGCCACCTAGCTGCCAACTGGCTTCCTTGCTGTTCCCCAAACAAGAAACTCCATCTCCTAACTCTGGGCATTTTGTCTCCTCTGTGATTGGAATGCTCTTCCTCTTCATCTCTGCTTTCTGGATTTCTTCAAGTCCTGGATAAAATCACATCTTCTACATCTTCCTTCTGTTGATTCTCATCATCCCCATCTTTCTTCTGTTGATTAATTTCATTTCCTCCTGGATTTAGTTGACTTGTACATATTTATTTGTGTGTAGTCTCCTACGTTAGACTGTGAGCTCCTTGAAAGCAAGGACTTTGTTCGGCCCATCTTTGTATCCCTAGCACTTAGCACAGTGCCTGGCACATTAGTAGGTATTTATTGACTCACTGGCTGTGTCTCTCTAGTAAGTTTTGGTCATAAAATCACACCATATTAGAAAGGGAAAGAGAATAAGCATTTATTAGGCTCCAACTGTGTGCCAACCACTGTGCTAAGTTACAATTATCTAATTTGGTCATTAGTGTATATTAGCACTCAACAAGACCTCAAAGATTATCTGATATAACCTTTGCACTTTATAGATGAGGAAAATGAGGCCCATAGAGAGGAAGTGGCCTTCCTCAATGTTGCACAGCTATTAAGTTGTAGGATTAGGACTTGAATCAGACTTAATTACAAATTGAGTGATATTCAATGTCTGTAATCCATTCTGTGGCTGCTTGTGGTATGGTAGCCTACTATGGAGGAAGCATGAAGTTGAGAATCTGAACTAGCTAATTCCTAGGCAACTTGGTGGCACGGTGGATAGAGTGTAGGACACGGGGTCAGGATAACTGAAGTTCCAATCCTGCCTCAGACAATTACTAGCTGTGTGATTCTGGGCAAGTCATTTAACCTCTTCAGCTTACCTCAGGGTTGCAGTGAGGATCAAATGAGTTAATATTAATTATTATTATTGTTTAAATTAATAATAAATTATATTAACATAGTAAATGAGTTAATATATAACATAAAACAATAAGCAAATCTTTAAATACTATATAAATGACTGTTATTTTTATTGTTATTAATTCCTACTGCTAGAATTTTAAAGTGAGAATAGGTTAGGCAGAAATAGAAGACAGGAGAGGACAAATTCAAATTAATCCTATCCAAAAGCTAGCTGTCATTATGAAATAGAAATTCCACTTTTGAATGAAATAATAAAACGGTTGTGAAATGGGATAGGCTTAGGTTTCAACTGATTTAATATAAAATATAATTTTTATTTTAACTTTAAATAAAAAGCTTGATAATATAAAAAGCCAGGCATATTTAGAGTGTCAGACACTTATATTTTCCTTTTGCCGGACATTTAGTAATGTAGAACATTAGTTCACATATGATGTGAAGATAGGCCAGTCTCCCTCTCTGCTTCTTAGTTTCTTCACCTGTAAGAGAATCTAATTTTCAGTCTATACTTCCCCTCTGGCAAGGTGATTCTGTTTGTGGTCATGTCAGACAAGTACTCTGAGGGAAAATGCTTCTATCTAAATTCAGGGAACATCTTAACGTCCCAGGTTTACTTGCATGAAGTTACTAGGCCTGCACCTCTCAGATGGCCTCTGGATTCCAATTTCACAAAATTAGTAATGATTACAGTTATAACCAATGCTTCCTGTTCCCACAGATACTATATAAAGCACTTTATTTCACCAATAATGACAAATGATGAGAAATTGCCTCCTTGCCAGAAATTTGGTAGAAATAATAGTGGATTTAGTCCTAGACTTCACTACTTACTAACCAAAGACCTATTGTAAGTCCCTTCAGTTTCCCTATCTGTAAAATAAAGGAGTAGGATTTTCATTTCTCTGACTAGGCTGTGAGATTTGTAAAGACGAAGCCTCAGTTTCCCCCTCTGTAAAATGAAGGGTTTAGATGATATGACTTCTTAGGTCCTTTCCAGCTCTAAATTTATAATCACAAAATCCCTTTCAACTCTAAGATGTTGTCGCTGTTCTTGGTTGCTAAAAGAGACCTTAACAATGATCTCATCTAGTTACCTTATTTTATAGATGAGAAAAATTACCTTATTTTAAAGATGAGAGGACCAGGTACCTAACTAAAGTCACCTACCAAGTGAGTGGCAGAGTTGGGACTGGAATTCAAATCTCCTGATATCCAGACTAAGTAATGATAAGTTAATTTTGTCATTTTACTTTTAATTTGCTGTTGTTGTTTTTACAGTAGGCTAGGTACTGCGTCCCTAATCCATATAAATTATCTTCTGTTCGGTCAACTTGATGGAGAATTGGATTTAAATGAGGATGGTGGTCTGGATGGTATGGCATAATTATATCTGATTAGTTAGGCTAGGGACTGAAGTGTGATTTCATTAGTATAAAGAATTCCCCAGGGAAGGAAACTCATTCTATCAATGCAGGTCAGTACCTTCACTGAAACTTGTAGTCTTAGAGAGTTGTCTATATCAGAGAGATTTTGTGTCTTTCTAAGGATCAGATAGCCAAGAGGCAAGACTTGAACTCAGATCTTTCTGCCTTTTAAGGCCAG